CCATAAGTGGGGACCTGAACCAATGAGAACACATTTTAATACTATTACATCCTCTGAAGAACTCTCCTGTTCCCTTAACAAAGGATATTTACTTTGCTAATTATTTTTCTCTCAAAGGATTGGGGTCTCCTTCTTGCCAGTTAGGGTACAGGTGACACCTCACCTTGAAATGACCCACTCCATGTCCACACTTGGTTGGTCACTCCTGTGAACTGCTTGTTCACAGACTCTTAACACCTGTGAGTCATATGAAGGGAAGTGACCTCACATAGTATTACACCAGGAAAATTACCAACTGAAAGAATTACTGAAACAGTGTGTGTCTGGTTACTTCAAAGAATAAACAGGAGTCAGGTGAAGGTAATAACATCTTAAGGTGACGTCAGTAATATCTTAGATGACCAAGAATAATCTTGTGGGCCCCAAGAACATATTACAACATGGACTATGCTAGCAGAAATCTCACCCATCAGACAACAGCAAATGACGCTCTGGCTCAAATGTTAAATATCCTCTCTTGGTGTGTGAAAGCACATGACCAGCAGGAAGGAAAAACATCAGGGAGACAAAGGCTTTGCTACATATCTGTGGGCTTCAGTCTCCAGTGAGACACTCAGAGCCTACATCTCCTCTATTACCACTGCTGCTTTTATTGTACAGCATATTTCCATGTATGTTTCATTCTATTTTTTGAATTCTGTATTTCATTGTTCTCTCAGTCTAGTTATGAATCATCACACTTTCAATTTCCAAGTATTTACAATACATGAAATGGAAAGTTATTTTTTATATTCAGACTTTCATGGATTTTTTTTTTTATTCTTCCTTGCAATACATTTTCTTATCTCCACAGCATAATCAGATAGTGGCTATATTGGAGTAAAGCTCAATTTATCAGTTGATTAAAGAATCATTGATCTCTTCATACTGTTAAAAATACTTTTCTAAAATTGTGGTTTCATTATTTTTTATTTATACAAATCCATTTCATATTTTATACATTTTTACAGCAATTCTGATTTGGTTAAATTTTTAAAATATACTATGCTACAGAATCCTGACAGTGTCTTTTTACATCTATGATCATGAACACATGGCATTCTCATGAACTCTATGAATGTGGCTAATAATATCAGTGGATTTCCTAATACTGAATCTCACTTGCACTCCTGCCATAAAGGATGTCTGGTCATGCTATAATATACTAATATGCTGATACAATGGCTCCTAACATTTATAACTTTCACTTTTATATCCTTATGTCCTATTTGTAGTAGTCTGTGTGCCTCAATCCAGTTAATGATCTTATATCCCCTCACATACTCTTCCAAAATTTTGGGGGTATAACTCTTATACCTGCTTTATAACTCTTACAGAGTTTAAGTGACACTTGTTTACTGAACTTTTTTGGTGGGGGGATGGAGTCTCGCTCTCTTCCCCAGGTTGGAGTGCAATGGCATGATCTCGGCTCACTGCAACCTCTGCATCCCAAGTTGAAGCTATTCTCCTGCCTCAGTTTCCCAAGTAGCTGGGATTACAGGTGCATGCCACCACACCTGGCCAATTTTTGTATTTTTAGTAGATACAGGGTTTCACCATGCTGACCAGGCTGGTCTCGAACTCCTGACCTCAAGTGATCTGCCCACCTTGGCCTCCCAA